CTGGTTTCTACATTACGATCGCTTTCTGGACTTTCTTCAGCGATTGTAGCAATCGCAGAGATCGCACAGAAACCAGGTCCCGCATTCAAGAGGGCTTAGTGAGTTAAGAGTTACGGTAACCGTTAGTTCGTAACAAGTCGCCACTTCGAAAAGACTTCTGGGATTGTTAGTGGGGACACGCCATTCAGCTATTGGCCAATTTGTTTCTCCTGTCTCTCGTAACATTCCCAGAGGTCTTTGCGACCCAGTCTCTTTCTCTTTTCTACAGTGGCGACTAGCCTACCGAAAAAAAAACCTCGAGATACACCTTAACATAGCATGGCTTCACAATCCCTGCACAGGGGTCTCCCACAGTGAAAGAAAGATAAGGGGAAGGAGCTCCTTCCTTTTCTGTTCTCGCGCCGTGATGCCTGCCCAAACATTTCAAGTACGTCGTTTTGAATTATTATATATGGCTGAATTGGCGACAGGGCAAGATGAATCGAATCCTGTGTTCTAATTGGCTACCCGTGCGGGCAAGGTGGGACTATCTAGCCAGCTCGGGATTTACTGCGTTGGACCCGCTCGACTTCGTCGCGACCATTAAAAGACAGAAAAGAACTAGGCCAATATCGAGCCATCGTGGCCTTACTTTTTGTCAATAACGCATATGTATACAGTACCTGATGTAACTCGGAGGTTAAGCAATATGGCGGTTTGTCGCCAGGAGGTGAAATGTCCAGCTTTAGGGTTCCTGCAAGATAAAAATCACAAAAACAACAGGTCAAGTAATTTAAAATAGCTGTCTGAAATGAACTAATGCCTCACATGAGAGAGTTATGCACATTAAAAACAAAAATAAACAAAACAAATAAATCACACCTTGAGAAACCCGAGGAATGAAAAAAAAAAACACTTTCCTTTTTGAGGCTTAACTAACTCATTTCATCGATCTGAAATAAATTACTATCCGAACCCTTTCTCCAGACAACCCAAATTTTAAAAACCGGCTTCATTTTGAAGGAGATTCCGTCTTGTGTTAACGATTTGACGGTCGTTATGATAGTTTTAAGACTGGGCTGAGAGAAACATTAGTACGGTAAAAGCGTTTATTATTCATTCAAAATATTTTCCCGATTCCGAATGGCTAAAAGCACACGAATAATTGACCATAACCAGCTACTGATGACCAAATGTGGAAGAATTTTGCGATTAATCAACCAATGACGTCAAAAGTGCAGTTTTTTGCAGGTCAATGCACCGTTAACCGAGAAGACCTGAGGACGAGCTTGAGTTGTTTAAGGAGATCGAGGAGGGTGTTATCCGCCTCGGCCTACGGCCTCGACGGATAACACCTTCCTCGATCTCATTAATTCTTCATAAGATACTCAGCCTCAATCATTAATTGTTAATTATGTGTAATAAGAAATTACCTGGAATGCACTTGAGGCGTTTTAGTACTGAAGAAGGCCTCTTTAAGTCAGCTAAAAACTTGTACAGGTCATCATCTTTTAACTTATCAGATTCCTGAGATTCAAAAGTAAAACAGTAAAATAAAATCCATGGGCAAAGGTTAAGGACATGTGCAGGGCTCGAAAAACGTCCCGGCCGGTAGTCAGGGACAAATAGATTTTAATGCTGGGCAAGTAACTTTTAAAGCTTACTTGCGTAAGGGGAAAGGGTTCAGGCGAGTCACTCTCTAAAAAATTCATTAACTTAGACGAGCAGGACACGTACAATGTCAGGGTAAGAGCTGCTTGCCAAAAGGACAAGCTGAAATTAGCAAACTCACCGTAATCCCGATTACGAGAAGGAAGAATTTCATTAGCCTACGTTCGGTTGCTTTCTTTACCATTTTTGTATGAAACTGCATTTCCAGACCTCATCATTTTCTTTAGATATTAGCCAATTATGTCGATAGCGTGTTTATTTACTGTTTTTATGTACCTGAAAATTTCGTTTCAAAATATTTCCAAAACGCTGTTATAAAATTTGTTCAAACTTTGCCATAATCGAGGCAACTAAGGGAGGAACGAGCTCCCTTAAGCGTTTTCGAGAAAAAAGAGCTCCTGGCGTTGATAAATACAAAGGCAAGTTTAAAAAAAAGCAATGGCGTCTTAACGTTGCCATGGCAACTCCGATGTCAATGAAACATGGACCACAACAAATTTTCATCTTTATACAACACAACTGTGGTATCCTTTTTCCAGCTCTTTGTTAATGTCCGCGGGGTAAATACTCAAACCTTAATGGTATCCCCCCTTAAAATCCAGTCTAGCCACCTTAATAAGAGGATCCAAAACTTTAAAATTACCTGTTTGAAAAAACTGCTGACAGTCAGTGTTACTGGTCTAAAATTTGTCAGATCAGGAACTGGCTCAAACTCGGCCCCATCAGCTAAATGAATTGACTTGCGACTCTCGTACACTGAGCTACGGTTGGAACGAAGCGATGAAGCAGGAGAGTCCACCATACTAGTTTGCTGTAAAAGAACGTAAGTCACAAAAATATTTATATTTCATAAATACAGTTGAAGTCGAACTTCCAGATGTGGTATACTGTTAGAGGCGTAGCACATACACTTACACCGAACTAAGAGATCAGACTATGCGTCAAGTGGTCGCTCCCAAGAGGTTTAAAACAATGGAAGTTTATAAAACTGCCAGCACAAAGAGTGGTTGTGGTCGCTGAAGGTAGGTGATCGTTTACGAGGGGTACTAATTATTGGGCTTTGAAAGGT